TTTGTATATTATAATCATTGAAAATATGAATATTATATTGTAAAATACGAATTTAGTTAATAAAAAATGAATATAAAATCCTTCTAAACCCTAGTTAACATTAAAAAAACAAATTTATTGTGAAAAAACCCCTTATTTCATTATCTTCTTCATTCATTTTCTTCTTCCTGAAAAAGACATTATTTCAACCATCTTCTTCATCTATCTTGAAAGGTAAGTTGTTATGAATTGTTTATATTTCTATGTAATAGCTTACTTTTTTTTAGAATGTTAAAAACAACATGATGGTTTTTTTTTTTAATATTGTTGAAGGACAAATATACCGAAAATATTTAGGAAAATGTGAAGTATTCCATATTTAATGAAGCATTCAGTCATTTATTTCTGGAAATAGGTTGTGATGTTGTAGTTGAAGAAATGATTATAAGCATTAATGCTACCAAACACATTTGAAACTTCTCGACAGTTCCGACACTCGAATCGTCGAACTCAACATTTCGAAAATGTCGGGATCGACATTTGAACTGTCGTACCCGACATTTATAAACTGCCGGGATAGATAAGTAAACTGTCGAATTGGACAGCTGAAAATTCTTGGCACCCTTAATTTGACCTTGTAGTATTGCATAGGTTTAAATATTGGAACGTGTCACTTCCATGCTATTATATAGTCGACATTTTGATTGCGCATAATTCTTATCGTTGCATTCCCAATATTTTAGGTATGAACAATAATTTGAGATTCATTGTATCGCACAGGGGAAAGTTTGTTTACGTGAATAACGATTGGAAGTGGACTGGGGAGAAAATCACTTCCATTTTAGTGCCGAGCAGTATCACACTACCGGAGCTATTGTTACGGTTGAAAGAGAAACTTGGTGTTTTTGATCCGTGCACAAAATTGGAATTGAAGTTCAAAGTTCCGAACATGAATATACGGCCGGCCAAAATACTCAAAGATGAAGACGTAAATTGGTACATATCAGTTCATAAGGAAACTGCCCTCTGCGTTACGACTTTGGAAACCGGCCTGCCAAGTGTTGAAATGGAAAAGGATACAAATTACAGCCAACAATTGTTCATCGCAGCGGAAGATCACCACACCGTACAGGACGACGACGTCAATCATTAGCAAAGCGTCCCAAACAATGATGCAACGGATACTCCAATTTTCGATGTTCGGACTGCACCATTAAATGAGATGTTCGACGATCCCTTACATGGTACAAATACTGGTAATATTGCTGACGTTGACGAAGAACTATTATCACATTTCAAAAGTCCGGATACATGCGACTGGATTTTCACTGTGAATACGCTGGATCTTACCGAAAAGGAAATATTTTTTAGCTAGAAAGAGTTGTACTCGAGAATTCGTCTACTTGCGTTGCGAGAGAAGTTTCAATTTCAGGTTAGCAGGTCAAGCCAAAAAATGTTAACCGTTGTATGTGCCGACGGTAATTGTAAGTGGATGTTACGTGCTTCGAGTGTGAAGCAGTCCGCCATCTTCATGATCCGCAAATACAACAATGTGCATATATATATATATATATATATATATATAGACACACACACACACACACAAAGCCACGGTTCTCATTATTAACAATTATGTTGAATGAGGAATAAAAATTCTGGGCTTTATGGATTTCTTTCTGCTGTTATATATACATTTTTTACTGTTGGTGGCCGGGAAAATTGAGAAAATTAAAAATATGAAATAATATTCGAATCTTGCTACTTCCATGATGTCAAGAAGAAGAATAATTTGATGGTATTTATATGTGAAGTTTTATAGTAATTATGAATATAATCCAAAATTAAATTAAAGGTTTTGGTATAAACTAACAAGAGAACAGGGTGACTATCTATTTTT